GTTTTAATTGGTGAAGCCAGCTTTTCTGTGCAAAGATTGATAAGATATGGCAGCTGTAATGGAAATACAGTTCACCTTTCTGCACTGAAGACATGCAATACTGCTTTTAACGTACATTTTTCATTAAACAGTAGCCTGTGGCGTTGTCCTGCACTATTAAGACAAAGAATTGATGGTTGGAATTGAGCAATTCTTATGGGGAAAATTCTCATGTTTTTTCTTCATCAGGGTCTACTCTGTCTCCAGTAAATGACCTGCCCTGGTTTCTCACGCTCTAAAGAGCTCATCTAGATAGAATCAGACTTGCCTGATGTTATTAATGACTTAGGGGGAGAATAGATGACTCTTATCCACCCATTCAGACTTGACAGCGCTACTCTCTAGAGGCTTTGCAGGGCAAAATACTGGGTTCACGTCAATTAGTGGTTTTGCATGTGATCATGAATGTTTGTTTGTCAGAGTCGTAAAGAAGATTAGGTTGTTTTTGTCATTTTGTTGGAGGCAAAAAGGGGATTTGTATATTTGCCAAAGACATGCTTACTAATACCAACATTTTGCAACACATTTCCTTACCTGTGGCTGCGGCTGTTGAATGATAATGAAAGTTATTTGACGGATGAACTGAAGAGAAAGGGAGAGGGAGATCTAATTTTAATCCTCAATTTCTGTCAAAAACTCTTAAGACATGGATATATACATCGAGCAGGTGCTCCATAAAACGTACCTCTTGTCATCAAAGTATACATCCGTGCAATTCATGTCTTGAGACTTATCTCACCTTTGAGCACCACTTCCATGTAGCGCTGTAGGGCTTTCGGAGAGAGGAGTGGATTGTTTGTTCTTCAACTGGAAGGAGCTAGAGACATCATCTGAATCATCATACATGTGGCATAGCCTGTTTTGAATGGTTTCAAACCCCATCAGACACGTCACTCATAACAATCACAATTAAAGTCATGATATTGCAGGAAGCTTCACTGTCTCCTATTAGAGGGTGTATGGATGGAAGCTGTCATGACCAGAGCACAAAGAAAAAATGCTTTCATTCTATGTTTATGTGATTTAACAAGCAATAATTAGATTACAAGAACATACACGCATGAAGCATTTACATAATTTCCCAGACTGAAATTCAGTTACAGTGAATTATGAATGAGTAAAATGAATGAGTGAGTACTTCCACTGCATATACGATTTATTTATTTATTTTTCTGTATTTTGTGTCATACAGATGATATCCATACATTCATTGTTTCCTTTTGAGTTGACATGGCTGGGGAGCCGGTAGTTTTGACAGTGTTTACAATCAAACAATTGATCCTTTGTTGCAGATAATAGAGGGGTTAGGGTTGCAATCACCGAATCAAGGAGAAGGAAGGAAATTAAGGATTGTTATGAGCACTAATCCTTCATATTGAGGCCAGATAACATTTATTATGGAAGAGCTATCAGGACAACAGAGAAATGGGTGTTAAACACTATTAACTTTACATGAATATTTAAAACCTGGTGTAGTTTTAGTCTTCAATTCGGATGATTTGCAGTAATAGTAGCATTTACTATCATGCATACATATATTTTTTATGCAGTGTATTATGTTTCTGAGACCTCTATACTGATCTGCATGCTATTAAAAATACCTGGGAAATAAAGAGCAGAAGCAAATATGCACCAGTGTGCAGAAATAGGCTCATGGCAACAGACATGACATTGAAAAACACAGGCTGGACTCCATTGGAAAATAGCTTACAAAAGAGGCAGCAAAGCTAGAAAAGGTGCACACAGTTGTTGAGCCTAATCTGAAGACAAATGCTCTGAGAGCAGATTCCATAGAGCTTACAGAATCCAAATCCCACCTGTTCTCAACAGGTGTTTTTGGTCGTCTCACCAGGCCAGATCTGCTCGACTCAGTTTAGGAAATGCGCATTTTGGATAAAACTGTCTATTTACTTCTGTTTGAGAGTTTCGGTTACAGTTTCACACATGCAGAAAGAAATACAGATACATCCGTATCAAGAAAACCCTCTAAATTAAACCTAAGGCATCTTAAAACACATTTAGTGTAACATTGCCTTTGTGTCTTAGTTATGCCATTTTACAGTGTCTCCAATATTTATTTTCCCACTGGAAGACCGCATGTATTTTGGAAATGTTTATTGTCACTGCAAACTAGGATGCAAGACTGAATTTGATCGTCAGGAATGGTTTTGTTGTATGATAATGACTTTAATTACATCTAGACCGAGATATAGGAGCTGTTTCAACACGATTCATCAAAAATGCATCTGGAACAATGGGGCTTTACTATGTTCAGTCAGTAAAGTGGTGCACAGCCAAATGTCTCAAGGCGTTTACCAAACAACTTTATTTCATCAGCTGAGCCGCAGTCCTCCAGAAAGCTGTGGAGTTAATGGTCAGTAACCCATGAGCATTAAGACATTTATCTGCACACTCAGCATTGGCTAAGTAGCTCCCTAAGTCTCACAGCAATTTCGTCAGGTCTCCAAATAATACGTTTACCTACTGCAGTGCACTGCAGGCTCCTTACGTATCTTATTTCCCACTGCCTTATACTCACACTTTCATCGAAAACACCCCATTACACAGTAGATAGTGGGCAATGACGTCTAACCTCCAATTATTTTTGGTGGTGACATTCACAACTGGAGTATTTTCTCCCTGTTTTCCAAATCACCTCAACAGAATGGGCATTCAGATTAGAGAAGACAAACCTATCTTTAGATGGGGCCAGAACTACTAACACATTTATGATAAGGATTATAAAAAGGAGAATTCTAGTAGTGTAAAAATGTGGTTTTGGATGTGGCAACAGTCTTATAACCCATAGTGCAATAATAAGCATATTTCACATGCTTATTGTAAAGATTTTTGTTAGTTTGTCTATTGTTATTTTCTTTTTTCTTTTGTGGTTTCTTGTGTTTAATGTGGACAATTGACCAAATTTACCAAAATAAAGTGAAAAGTGAAAGTGAAGTGAAAGTGAAAGCAACAAGTAATTATTTCTGTTTTAAAAAACATGTATGTCTGCTTTTAAATTTCTGTTTCAAGTCTCAGTTAAAAAAAAAGTGTCATTCTCTTGAATGAGGGCACATCTCACATGGCTTGGCCCGATTTTAAAATGCTACCAAGCTATTGGTCCATTGAAACGGGAAAAAAATGGTGTCAGTGAGAGAGCGGATACAGATTATACTTACTGTATTTGAATGTCAGAATAAACTAATGTATGTCATTGTGAGGATTGTTAACTGAGTTATCACAGAGAGAATTTCCTCCCTCTAGACACTTCAAGGAGGATTTATATATCAGAAATAATGTGAATTATATCTATTAACTGCAAGATGAGTTAACTATTATGGCCAGCAAGAGGACAATAACTCCTCTATAATCGATGAACGACTGAAGTTATAAGAAATAAAAATAGATTTTTATCTTTAAAACTGTCTGGAAATATGTTTCACTCTGGGAGGGTGAGATAAAGTGAATCTCACTGTTTGAGCTACACTCAAACAAAATACCAAGCAGACTGTTATCTGATGTCTTTTTAATAATATCAGCAGTAGTACATGTGCCCTTGCATGATGAAACCTCCAGGGATTTGAAACTTTTTATGTGTAAATCAGGAAAATCGGTATATTCTTCACTTAAATTTGTACGTATACATTTATACAGTGATGGTAATGTGTGTAGTTGAATTTATTTTTGGTAAAGCATTTCATCCTTCCAACCACTACAATATGACTCAGCTAGATGAATAACAATTATTATGTTAAGTGTTGGAATTTCTACTCCATAAACCCAATCTATTCTGCGAAATGGAATTGAATAGGAAAATAAAAAGAGGTCCGTTGCTCTTCGGAAAACCTGAATGTTCTGGTTTTCAGCAGTCTTGGATCGGTGAAGGTGAAAATAACTACTAAAGGGGAGTTGGAAGAAGTATTTGTTAATGTTTTAACGTTCCCAGAATAGCAGTTAAGTGCATTATTTGAAGACAAACCCATCAACAGCTAGAATAAATTTGAAAAGCATTTTTCATTTTTTGAAAGTTTTTCTGTTGGTTGAAAAGTGTAAGTAAAAAAAGTAAAAGTTTTTGAAAAATGTTTATACACACCATGGGTTTTTGGTTCTGTTCTGCTGGAAACTTTATCTCTCCATGGTTATGGGATTTCATCCGGTAATGCATCTTGTTCCAAGCTTTTTCCTATAATGAGCCTCAAAACTGTCAGAATGCTACATTTCGATGCATACCAACACCTTAACATTTGTTTCTTCCAGCGAAAGAGTTCATAGTCTAATTTTGTGCTGCTATCTGAGTCAGAACAGATAGCACCCATTACAGTAATTTAATCTAAGTTGTTTCAGTTTTTTTTCAAACAGAAAAATATAGATAACTGTGATTTGTAACGTAAGAGAACATTCCATCTTATAATTTGATAACTGCTCAAAGAACAAAGAGCAATCAGTAATTCTTTGACTTAAACTAATAAAAAATGGCATGCCGAAGATAGATTCCTGACCCTGAACCAATTAAAATGTTAAAGCACGACTTGAAGCAAACCAGCCATACAGGGCACTCTAAAAATACCTATTAATTCCCAACTACTGAATGTAGTGTAATCAGTCAGATTAGCTCCTATTTGCTCCAAAGGCCTGATGAAAGGCAAGAGAAAACATATGTTTGAGGAATATTTTTGCTACGAGTAATTAAACCTCAAGATTTATGGATTTCCCCCACCTAACCCTCAAGCACTGTTTAAGTAGTTTTACTTTTAATTCAGAGGAATCCACCACATTTTTTAACCTAGCTATTATTCTATTACCATTTCAAGTAATACATTTTTCCACTACGCTCACATAGTGTACCCTTAAAGCATATAGCTGTCGTAGGGCATGTTATGCTTACACTCAGTGTTCCTTTTGTGTATCTCCAGAGGGTAGAAACTGTCCTTTCTGACATTGCTTGTGTGTGGTCTTCTTTCCAGCACTAACAAATGTGAAGCTGTGGGCCATTGACCGACAATGTTTTCAGACGATCATGATGAGGACAGGCCTCATCAAGCACACAGAGTATATGGAGTTTCTCAAAAGGTGAGCAACCTTTCCGCTTTGTCCCACAGTGACACACAAATTACCTGAATAGGTGTCCAATCTGACATGCAATGAATGAAATTAGAAAGGTGCATTAAGGAGGACATGTTTTAGCTGTTTCTCATTAGGTTTTTTCCTCTTTTCCTTTTGGAAATAAATTTGATATATCCACACATTACAGACGGCATAATTCAGTCTTCTGAAAGACTACCTTTTACCTGTTGCAGCTGTTCTTTATTGTCCTGATTTGTTTAAAAAAGACCTGAGCATTAACCTCTTTTTTAACATTTTTAAATGTTTTTTTTTTAATGAGGAACCTATTATCATTTAAAAGGCCTGTGGATTCTTTGTTTGAGCCAGTATAAAAGCATAGGATAAAAGACAGACACATGAAATAGAGTGTGAGACATGCAGTCATATTACAAATCTCTCTAACTCACTGTCCTCCACTTGCATCAACTTTGGTCTTCCAGCCAATAAAAAGATTACGTAACATCTTTCTTCCATTTCATTCTCTTAGCCTGTTGCAGAGTGCTGTAATTTTCTTCCATGTGCTAAATTTATAGTAAGACTGTGGCTGTATTTATGATTGTGACTTACTGTAAAACTACCATCAGGGTAAAAAGGACTGTTCCAGTTCCAATCATCCTCTCTTTCGACCTAAAGACACACTGCACCAAAGTCCATTTATAATCAGTAAAATACACTTATCTAATCGGTTGAAATATGAAACATATTATATGTGAAAGCAAAACCAGTTTGTATTTGACTAAACGAGGCTCAAGTGTTACCAGTCTCCGTTCTGAATGCGTTTGAAGGGTATGCGTGGTGTGGCACTTCATGTCTCCCGGCATGTTTTGCACTGCAGTCGAAAAGACATGTAAATATTTAAACATGTGTTTAAGTTTCTTTAGGACTAACTGTGTGTTTTATTTATAAAAGGATGTCTGATTCACGGGGCCATTCATTAAGCATCACATAATTATATCCCTATTGTGGCCCCCTGAAGAAGATCCTATAAAAGAGTTCTAGTTCAAGATAAGAAAAAAAGGGTATGGGTTCTTGTGAGTCCTCATTCCTACCCTTTAACTCCCGTGGTATTATATATATATAGTGACTCATAAGTTGCAGAGGAGGAAAACTCGGAACAACAGATTGCAATTTTTATTGCGTACTGTTGTTGAGAGTGCCTATAGAGACTTAGTGCCTCTTGCCAGCATATATTTCAAATCACCCAAATACAGTGTTCTGGGAAAAGTAAAGATAATGTCTAATGGTCAAACTCAACAAGGTTTACCCAACCCATAATTCTGTTGTTGATATCTTTAGGGTTGGTGCACTATTATTCAATCTAACATCCTCTTTCGCTTTGGATAAAAGCCTCACTCTTAGGCTTAGAATGAAGAGTCACCTCCACAGTTCTCCAAAAGGTGAAAGTAATGAGGAAAGCATGAAGCAAACTTTACAAAAGTAATACACATTTCTCTGGCCGGTGTAAATGTGTTTAATTACACTTTACACAGCTTGAGTAAGGTTGAGTCTTTGAATTCATCACAAAGAAGACATTGTTAGTGAAGCCTCTGAAGTGTATCACAGTGAATAAATAAAAAAACAAAGCTTTTCGTGTGTGTCCACAACTTTTCAAAAGGGAGACAAGGGTTAAAAATGTATATCTTTCATGTACAGTAAGCATCCTGTTCACCCCCCACTGGTTATCTGGTGCCCCTGTTGAGGAAACAACAACACAGGGATCAGCACAGTGGCCATGGTCAGGGCCTGGAGGCGGAGACAAGATGGCTCAGATTACTGTAATAAAACATGAAAGATGGGGGGGGTAGAGAGAGATGGAGAAACAGAGAGACTGATTATATGGGGAGATAAGCCCTTTGTTCACCAACATGGGTTGTTTTCTCTCCTCCTTGATAAACATTAGGCGAGTTTTATTTAGTCCATTCGCTAACAGGCAGATTGGATTCATTCAAGCTGCCGGGAAGCACAGGAACAAACAATGCAGCACCATATTGGAAAAGTCAAGCCCCATGTGTGGTGCACACAGTTTAAATTGCACATGCTTCACAGTTTGTTCTATGTTATTTATATATATTCATATGCAATGCAGTATACAGACCAACTTCATCTGGAAAGTATTCACTTTCTGACAAGGTTGCATATATTTATGTCCCTCAGTCCATTTAACTCTTAACAACTAAGCTGTTGCCTTTTTTACGCTTTCAAATAAATATTGTCACAGGCTGTGTTCTCCAGTGTAAATTCTGATCCCAGCTTTATAATGATATTCACCTTCAGCTGAAAGAGACCTTTTGCGGGATGGTGTGTCAGCTTGTTTAAATTCATTATTAGCCATTCTTCCATGCCAAAGCCCTTCAGGTGGAAGGTTTTTCAGGGTTTAGCGGGTGCCCAGCCTCTCTGACATCCCCACTGAACATCCCAATGAGATTGAAATGTGGGTTTCACTTTGTCATTTTACAATTCTCTGCTACCTCTTGGCATTTGTTAGTTTACGATGGTTCATCCTATCTTATCACATTTCACCTTTCAGTTTTGTACTGTTTCACTTAACTGTCAAGCTCCTGTGAATTTCATATTGATTAATTGCTGAATTGCATTAATAACTGCAAGCTGTCTGGTCTAAAAGGTCAGCCCCACAGTTCAACCACTATATTTTACTGTTGGCAAGAGGTTCATCTCTGGAAGATTTATCGCTGGGCTGTATAAATTATGTTCTTTGTTAGAATTGTTATCTTGGATTTGTCTCTCCAGATAACACTTGCTCAGTGCAATCTTGTACTCATTTGGGAGCCTGCTGCCTCAGTTTTTAATGGTGGGGATACCTGCATAGCCTCACTTTTAAACTGGCTGGGATTCCTGAGGTTGTAACTCAACAATCACAGGAGGCATCACCATGACAACGTGGTAAATTTCGACAAGGTTTAGAAAAAATGTATTATACTGTGTGATTTAACATCTAACCCTGAGGATTTTTCTAACCTTAACCAATTTCTTTTAATGCCAGAAGTCTCAAGGCTGGACACAGACTGAAGTCACATGATAAGGAGTATGGTTTATAGTCCCTTCTTCTCCTCTGGCTTCCTCACACAATCTGTGTTAGTTATTCAATCCCACACTGGATAAGCAGGTTTTTTGCAGTATTCTGCAGAAGCAGCCAGCCTGTTGATCGGAAGGACATTTGGCTATATCCAACTGTAGAGCAGTTATCTTCCCTTTGGAAATTGACAAAAATGGGTCAACTCATGTGATAAGAACCTGACAGAAGAAGATGTTGAACTAGAAGCAGTATGTGATGAGTTGAAAATGGTAATGTGTTGGTCGTGTATGTTCTGAAGGGTCTGATCTTTGCCTAAATGGTCACTGTTATACTATATCTTCAGTCTAATGGTCTGTTTGGATATCAGAGTTTATTTTGGGGTGGGGCATATAAACGGCACCTCCAATGCATATCATATTCATTTGGCCTTTTTTTAGGACGGTTAGTTACAGGGACTATCTGAGGTCCTCAATTGATTGGGAGGATGTTAATAATTATGATATTTTCTTGGTATTTATATTAACTTGTATACTTCTGCTGTTGTCAACATTTTCCATCTTCTCTCCTGCAGTGTTCCCACATTCCATGGACTCCAGGAAGACATTTTAAGCAAGCTTGCTGATGTCCTAGAGGAGGTAAGTGCCTTTTTGCCTTGTGGCATCTGTAGCACAAAGCACTTAATATATCTTCATAGATTATCATACAGATCAAATCCTTTTTTATTGGTCATGGTAAAGGGAACCAGAAGGAAAATTACTGCATGTTTCAGATAATATGTCCTTAGTGAAGGTATGCAGAGATTATTCTTTTGGTTCAGTGGAAAAAATTGTCCACAATTGGAATTTCATGGCCATTTTTATCCTTGTATTATGTGCAGAGTGTGGTGGTTTTACTTAATGGCACACTTATTAGGAAACAGTTCATTACACAAACCTGTTCAGGAATTCTGTGCACTGTAGCCAGAGACCCTTTCAGTTTTCAGGGTGAATTATTTTAAGTGAACTGAAGCACACTGTTCTGTGTTTTATATAATGCTGTGGTTTGGTATCCATTATGACTTAGTTGTTTCTATGGTAATATGTTTAACACCTTCTGTTTTTCAGGCATACATTTTAAGGAAAACTCTTTTGGTTTCATCTTGCTTTGAAACATCCATAGTTTCTCATTCATTCCCAATTTAAGTGACACAAACCTAGTTGTGTTTTGAAATCAAAGGGAAAATGCTGTTTCACTGTGTGGTGATACAAATTTAATGCAGAAAATGTATCTTAAAACTGGCTCTTCATGGGTTGAGAACTGCGATGGATTAAAAACCGAGGCAGGTTTTACAATTCTTTGTAATTGCTCTTCATTTCATATGCTGATGATATGCAGGCCAACAGCTGCTTTGGAGACAGAGGAGATAGAAAGAAATGATGAAACACGATTTACCAATTAGGGACTTGTTACATGTGAAATTCGTTAAAGAATTTTAAAAAGCCCCTAAAAAAAATCGGTACTTTTTCCATAATGTGGATGTGCAGAATATTTCCACATTTTTTAATTTGTCATAGTATAACATTTTCTAGCCATCTGCAAACCACTTTGATGTGTCCTCCAGCATAATTTGGTTATGCAAATGCTTTCTCACCTCCACTTTTGATGCTAATTACATTAAGGCTTTTAAGATTTTAAACTGCATTAGGTATGATTTTCATATCTTTTAAGTAAATGAGTATCTGAATAACACAATTTTTGACAATGCAAATGTATTCCAATCTATTTCTATAACTACTAAAAAATTGGCAACGGGCAGTGGTCAAAATAAGAAATGTGAGATCACATTTACATATTTGTATATACTATGCTCCTAAAAATGAACATAAATAAAAAATAAAAAAACAAGCGGGTTTCTATGTTGCCTAACGACAACAGAATCAGCACACAAAAATCTGATACTAGTCATTTTTAAAAGAGGAAAGGCATCTTTCCAGGTTTTTGTGCTGAATAATTGGACCTCTCCTCAAATCAATGGTTGGAATGAACTCAACAGACTTGACATTGGGAATAGGTTTAACTGACATTATCTTCGACCAACAAATATTTAGCCATGTGGCCCTCATCAAGTCAGAAGCTCATACTATGCTCACTAATCTACATTCAGCTCAGTGTGAGTCTGTACTGCTGTTCTCCTTCTGCACATTTGTGTGAATTCGTTTGATCTGCAACACAAACTGTGTGGCTCCACTCCTGACTATGTCTGCTCTAGTTTTCTCCTTCATACAAATAATTTTTGGTATGTCTTTTTCCTACATGGCACTCTGAGCAATCTGACTCAGAGTGGAGAAAGTAGAAGAGAGGAAATACTAGTTAGACAGGACTTACATGGACTTGATGTTCTAATGCTTTATGGCTGCTCTCTGTAATTTGTAGCAACTGCCAGACAGACACTGATTGGCTGTTAAATCAGAAATTTTCTCAGCTTTGCACTTCAAACAATGTTAACAAATTAGAAGCAATGCTACCACACTCATTTTCAGCATCAAAGCCATTAATTCAAAAGGAATGAACAATGAGAATACATCCCAGTATATCCTGCCTTTCTCTAAATGAGCACAACTCATCCAAAGTGTTCTTAGTTTAGTTTAAGCAGTGTGCATGCATATGTTCTGGGATCACATTGTTTGAATTTTGTTCCTTATATTGGAAAAAAAATGATTTTGCAAGACTTGATGATGGGGCTCATTTATAGGTATGATCCTCAAATACAAAATCAGGCACTGGTATCAAGTTTCTGCAAACATAGCATGTGGATTTATCCTAATATTCTATCAAAAGTCACATTCAGTAAAAAAAACATTAGCGAATGAATGCTAGTTACTGATGTATGATCATCATGATCTCAAGTACTAGTACTAACACCGATCTGTTCTCACCCAATTGGCTAACAGCGTTTAAAAAAGGAAACGCTACATGTGAAAGTGTCCAAAGTGTCCAAATGGATGATATCTACATATATCCAGCAATACTAAACTGATCCACCATATGAGTCAGTGAGTCGCTGTTTATTCTTTCTAAAATTCCACAGAAATGATCATTGACCTCAGTTTTCTCTGTTCAGTGCTGTTGTTTTAAACATGATATGTACTGCAGTTGATTTGTTGACATATTTGTAACGTACTAGAGTCAAACAAAATGTCAAACATCGTGCCAATACAAAACCGGGAAAACATTAAACTTGATTATGTGGACTAGAATCAGAGTTAAACGGCCAACAGGAGAGCAAATGATCTTCAAACAAGCAATTCATTGAAAAAAATCCATAGCAGAATCCAGCCTAGAAAAGAACAACAAAGAAAAATGGCACAAGAGAAAGGAAGTTGGCACAAGGAAAACAGGAAAACAGTTTAAGCAGATAAATTAGTAATACTGAGGAACCGTAAATACTTTTAAAGGGAACTTTAGAGTAAAATAAATGTATTTGTAAGGGATTAAAAAAAATGTTTTAGTTGCTCAAAGGGGAATTTTGTAGTCACGCAGTAGCAGAAGGATTGGGCATTATTCTTTGTAATTTTTCATTTTCAAACTATTTGAAATAGAAAATGTTGTTTTTCTTGGACATGTAAGTTAGAATTAAACGAAGGAAATGCTTCATTTGTGTACATTGCAACAACCAGGTCTTTAATGTGCACCAATCAGACATAAAAGTTGGACCACTTTGTAATGTGTAACTCTTCCTCAATCCGCTATAAGAGAACTGAGCAGTATGGGTGTGGACAAAGACCACCTAAGGCCATCCTGGAGAGTCTGTTACTCTGATGTTAGCAATGTATCCTTTGTTCCCTGTAGATTGCCGATTGTGGTCTTTGTGAAAGGGGCTTGTGTCCCACCGATGCAATCAGATCACGTCAGATTGGTTTCTTAGATGTTTTGAGGGCAGTTCCACACCATGGACTCTTTGTCGTGGTCTTTGACTGTCCAGTGCTCCGGTGGTGCCTGTGCCTCATAATAACATCCATATGTAACACTGCCTTTAAACCCTGTAACATCTACACAACGGGAAAATATTTTCTCGCATTTTTTTCCATTTCCAAAACCAGAAAGTGTTTTATTTCTTTCCCATTTTGTTATTTTTTGTGATATTAAAGATTTTCAAAAATATGACAAAGTTGATCAGTGACAATCTATACCATCTGTACTGGTGCTTCCTGAGCGTTAGTCATGATACAACTTCAAATCCATTTTTTTTCCATGGCGCAAATGTGCTATTAATGTTTTAATAAAAGATGTCATATCCTTTCCTTGAAAGAACCCAACCTTGAACAAGCAATGCAAGGTGGATTGTATTTCCCTATGCAGGTGTCAGCCATGTGTTTGACTTAAAATCGGAAGGGAGAACATGACAACCTGTTAACACTCTCTAGCTACCACAACCCTGAAAAGGGTTTTCAAAATTGCAGTAATTGAATAGATGTGCTTTCTACATTGTTTTTTACTATTGTAAACATGTTATTATCCATTTAGATAATATGCAGTAGCATTTCAAAAATGAAAACCTTTACCTGTTTTTTTCATTTTCAAGTTTACTAATCATAGCGAGGTAAGCATGGTGTAAAAGGCACCATTGTGTAAAAGGCACCATTGTGTAAAAGGCACCATTTTCCACTTTGTGGTTCAATAGGTAAATGCGACCTATTGGGATCCAGTTCAATTCACCAAATTTAGCTTTACTTCCTCTTCAGTGCGCTTAGTGACTGTCTCACTTTCAAGAAGCAAAAAGGAGACAAAATAATTACAGTGAGCCTCAGTAATGCTTCTTTTCTCTGGTCTTCTCTTCTGACAGACACATTATGAAGATGGAGAATACATCATCAGACAAGGGGCCAGAGGAGACACCTTCTTCATTATCAGCAAGGGGAAGGTAAGGACAGTCCTGCTAGAATATACCTGCAAAATATTCCTCTTCATAGGCGACATATGCCTATCTTTAAAGTGAAAGGGGAGTATTTCTGGATGGAGGTTGGTTATCATCAATCATTCCGTGATAGACGAGGAGACGCACAGACAGCCTACCTCTTTCATCATCCTTCGCGGCAGTAATGGGAGTATATGTAGAGAGAAGAATGGAGTCACTTTGATTTCCCTTTTCAGTAATCAACACTGGCTCCCACACTCGGCACGGTCCTGTCGGGCCTCAGTTCTGCTGGGTGGCTTTCACGTACTTGTATTGCAATACCAAGATGCCTGCCAGTCTTCTTCCCCAAATTTTCAGCACACTATCCTCACCTACAGCATCTTTTCCATGTAATTCTTTAAATTCCACTCTCACCTTCATCTCCATCTGTCAACATCATAATAACCCTGACATCTGACAGTCTCGAGCACTTAAAAAGTAGGTGTTTTATGATTTGCCAGTAATGTTTATAAACTAATGTGACAGTGTGTCATTAGAATTTTTAAAAACACAAGAAAGTGACACATATTCATTGCATTTTTACAAAATGTTCACATTCAATTAATGCAAATTCTTTCCTATCCATTTTTTTCTAGATCTCCTTTGTCACACAGCTACACTGCCCACAGTTTTGTTGATGAATTTTTGGATGCAGAAAAGAACACACTGATACACTCCTTACCCAAAAATTGTTCTGTGGTTTTCCAATTTGTCAGGAAAACATTCAACCATATTGTGTGCACGTATAACGTATTTTAATTCCTCTGCTTGCGCTCTTAATGTCTTCTTCACTAGCACATAACTGTACATATTAATGAATTATTACGCTGTCACTCAAGTATACACAGCATACACGAAGTGTTGCTGCAAGATACTCTGGGACACCTAATGGATGAAGACAAGATTGCTCATTAGGCAAACGATTGTCTCCATCTACTTCCTTGAAAAGCCACTGAAGAGTGATTTGTTTGATTTCTAAGGTCTTTAGCCACTGCAGAGTGCAATCACTCACATGCCATGTCACTAATGACATGGTCAGCAGAGCTAGTCAGGTCCTGTGCACTGATGACATCAACCTGTTCAGAACAGACCAGAGAAATCATTCACATCAGCTATTTTGAGAGATCACTTACATGCATTTTTCATGAGGTGATAAAACCTCTATCCTTAACTCTCAAAAATCCCTTCTCCCAGTTTTGTACCCTTCCTTATCATGCCACATCATCCACTTTCTTTGAATCTCTGCCCTTCTTCTGGTAGGTTAATGTGACCAGGGAAGAGTTACCTAATGGAGATCCTGTCTACCTCCGCAGCCTTGGAAAAGGTGAATGGTTTGGAGAGAAGGCTCTGCAAGGGTAAGGTTACTCCTCATATGATTTCCTCTTTCAATTAAAATCTTCAGCTTTACATGCAGTCAGCACCATCCTTCTGATTTTCATTAATTGGCAGAACCTTCTCTGTTGGAACCGTCTTTGTTGTATGAACATGCATCTTTTATTTTCAATAAGCTTAAAGTCCTTATCCGGTTTTTTCTTCTCACATATTCTTCTTGACATAATAGATGTTTTGCCATATGAGACCTAAAGCCTGATACACTTGTTGCATAATTAACTATTAATCCTGTGTAGATTTTTGTATGCTCCGCAACAACACCAACTGTAAGGCCTTGGGCTCCATGAATAGGAAACAAATAGAAGAATGAGATAAAGCAGTAATAAGTCATCATATTCATCACAGAAAAACTGTGGCATCTTCTTCCAGTAGGAATTAGCCTTTTTATTTTCGCCTCTCTATATTGCATATTTCAGAGAAAACAACCACCTTGTGCAGTTAAGAAGACTTGCTCTAATATTATTAAAACTCATGAAATGGCCTGAGAAATGATGTTACAGATTAGTTTGGGTTTTCCCAAACACAGGTCACAGAACGGTGCAAGATGAGGACCAAAATTAAACTTTAGTCACACTCTTGTGAACAAAGGTGCCAGTGTGTGAGGTACTCCAAAGATTGTAAAATCTAAAAGCAAAGGGAAACTAAAGAGGATCCAGGTAGTACACATCACACCCTAAACAAAGATGGTGGACTGGTACAAACAAAAGGAACTGATGAGAAGAAGAGGAAGACGTTCATCCAATCAGATTGAACAAATTTAGGCTGCTAGCCGAAGGAGTACCAAGCGTAGGAGGGAAACTAAAAAAAATGCACAATTAACAGGCTAAACAAAATAAAACAGGACTAAGGAGGATAAAAAGAGGACATAGACATTAGGCAAATCTTAACCAGACACTGAACATAAACAAAGATCCCATTGATTGTGGAAAAGCAAGTTCAGTTTTATGGCTTAAAGCTTTTTAACTCTCTTTACCAGAGAACTTTGTAAACTTTAACTAATGAAAAATAAAATTCAGGCCGCAGCCGAGATCTAATAACCCACCTTTTCTTTTTAGTTGATCTCAGGCTCCAGAAATATTTTCAAACCAAAACACCAACTAACTAACTAAAAGAAAAAATAGCAGTGTTTATACTCAAGTGATGGTGGAGATCCCACTCAAATACATCAAGTGACAGCCCATCTGTGCTATTTCACACACATCTTTTTCACGCATACACGCGCACACACACAATGACAGTAATGAAGTCCCTCATTGTGTCTGTAGTTTTTTTGTGTGATTTTTTTTCAAAAAGTGTCCTCTGAGCTGAAATTTCATTTAATTTTAGAGAACATTATCTAAGAGTTCTCTGTATATATATTTGCCTTTTTTCTGTTTTCGCTTGTTTGCTGAATCATTGTAACAGCAAGGACAAAATAAATTGTCCATGGCTGCTTTTAATGAATTTTCACCCTTGTTGTATGTCTTTTTCAAATACTATTATTGAATATTTCAGCGTAACTGCTGCTGATAAATTGGAAGAGTTTATATTGGCAAAAATATTAATGGAATGAACAGATACAACAAGATCCCCAATTCCCAGCATTACATTTCTGAGCTCTGTAAGCCAGCTGCTCCAACATTTATTCCAACATAATTAATGCCATCTAAGCGCTAAGCATTCAAACATGGTAACTTTAGATTGTACACAGAAGCTTTGTAGAAATATTTTGTCCAACTAAATGATTAAATAGTACTTTGAAGTAGAGGAAGAAATATTTTTAACTGTTCTAGGTTTGTAAAGGGTCCAGTGCCCATGAAATGCAAATATTGTCACATGGCCAACAGTGTTAAAATGCAATTCAATGAAGATGTCGCCATCTTGTGGCTGCCAAATGTGAAAACTGCTTTAAATCAGGTTTTAAAAAAGAGTTTTCAGTACCACAGAGACTGAAACTGGCCTAAAGCAGCGTGCAGTGGAAAAGACATCCCGGCTTATGCCCTGTTATAACGTTACCACATCTGTTTTCACAGGGAATACTGGAGTTGCTCAGGCAGCAGCGGGAGCTGCACAGATGGCAGGGCTTTCCCAAATGTTAAAGCTAATGACTATGAGAGTCAGACTTTGACAGAGCATTAACATGCATGCAGGCAGTGCGGGGAAGCTTGATCTGGAGGCAGGAAGTCATTGTATAAAATCTAAATGAATGTAGCATAAAAATGTGCTTTCGATGACTGAGCACATGACACAAAATCCTTCTTTGCGATGCTTTTTTTGTGGAATTGTCTTAATTTTCAGGGAATTCATGACTTTGTTGTTTATTCAAATGTTGCTTGTTTTTTCTCAGAAGAAATTCTTAGGCCTAATGTAGGAAAAACCTCTTGTGAAATGCTTGGATTCCATCCATCCATTTTCTGAACCGCTTATTCCCAAATGGGGTTGCGGGGGAACTGGAGCCCATCCCAATAGTCGATGGGCGAGATGCAGGTTACACCCTGGACGCTCCGCCAGGCCATCGCAGAGACACACAAAGATGAACAACCATTGACACTCACTCTTAAGGCCAAATTGGAATGTCCAATCAACCTAACATGCAGGTCTTTGGACAGTGGGAGTGAAATGCTCGAATTCCGTATTGTAATTCTGTATTTCTATATTTGCGCATAGCGGTTTTGAAGGCACTTCAAAGTACTTTTCAAAGCCTTGTTGCTGTCTGTTGTCATAAATGCTATCTGTCTTGAAGTGTCTTGAGTGTCAGAGGTTTATTCAGCTACACCTTTGATAGTCAAACATGTCCCGCAAATTCAAATGCTGAAGATGCTGACTGTCTTCACACTGTGCTTTTGATCAGAGGGCTCTTCTGCGGGGTCATCGTTCTAATTAGGAGTTAACTGTGTGTGTCCTTGCTCATGAAACTCAATAGACCCTTCTCAAAAGCTTCTCTGTCCATCTGAAGATGCTGCCTTTGATCTCTGGGAACAACATATTTACAAATCAAAGTCTATTCTCCTACCTATTGCAGTGGTTTGTTGGAGCTTGATGATTACTGTCCAGTGAGGTTTGTATGTTAAAAGAATCGGACGAATATCAAATGACCCGTTTCCTCTTGAGATTGTATATGTATAAGCTCTGTGTGAATACTGTTGTCTGTACACAGTGTACATCCCAGTAGATGCTTGTTCCAGGAAAAGATTTTTCTTCCTGCTTTATATCCCGTTCAAACATAGTCAGCAACATATCTGATGTCACATTCTGCCCGTCATGGAGAAGTGTGAACTTTAAGTTGCAGGGGGATCTGTCAGTAACGCAGACAATGTGTGTCCTGACCTCTTCTCTTGAGTGGATTTTTCACGTGTCTGTCGGCAGGGATGTTCCTGCTGACGAACCTGAGGTGCTGTATAGAAAAAGCCTGATGTCACTGACACGTGATAGGTGTCAGTGGGAGAACACCTTCAGCCCAACAATAGTGCTCTGATCATTTATCTCCAGAGCCAAGCATAGCATGGGCATGTGCTTTACTGCAGAGCCACATTACTCTTTTGTTTTCTTGGTTTAAACTTACCAAATTATTCTTTAATTATATATTCAGCAGCTCTTTCAGTGTCAACACTTCACTGCTGAATGGTTCACTTCAGGCACTGTCATATAAAGCTCTTATAACTTCATGGGCAAGTTTTGATTAGTCAATAGTTTTTTCAATAGGTATAAATCTGTTGTCAGCTTTGGACTTGGGAATTTAAAAAATGACATGACCCATTGGATTGTTGAGTCTTGAATTCGGCCATCAGCGGCTGGCATTTCGAAACTGATAGTCATGACTGACATTGTATGCTACTTTTGGGCAATGGCTTGTCACTCACAATGCAACCACATCTTATTTCAACTCCCGGCTTTGTCTTTTTTTTGTATCTTTTCATTACACAGTACAAACAACTGTGAGCAGCCATGCATTGTTTGATTAAATTAGAAACTAGCAACAGAGACTAGTTATCAAGTTAATATTAGTATGTTTTTCATTGGCCTCATGTAGAGATAGTCTGTTTTCAACCATCGTCTAAATCAAGCATATATAAATGCTGTTCTCACCACAACAACACAAAACCCACAACAAATAAGATTTTTATATTTCTTGAGATGCAGACATATCTTGTCAAAACAAACCCCATATTGCTTTTTCCTTTTCTTTGGAGAGGTGCTTTTTTAATGTTTAACAAGGCTGTTCTGAACACCAGAATTTTACAAGTTTCTCACAAACGAAAAAAAATAGTATTGTTGTTGGAACACATACAGGTAGGTTGTGCCGACATCAAAGGAAAGCTCGGGTAGGCTGTCTCATACAAAGCTCCGATTTTTTATTTTCTGGCAGTTTTTTCATTAGACATTTTGGACTGATAACATTAGCTTCCTTAAATAGCCATTTATATACACAGTATGTTCCATGTGAAGTTATTCCAGAAACACAACATTTTTCGTATTTTCATCAATTACCACCGAGAGAGGGGTAGTTATTTGAGGAGTGTCACAGTTTGATTATAATGTGTAAAAAGCATGGAGGGTCAAACAGCTTTATAAGGGACGCCACATGTGAATAGAGTAAGATGTTGATGTCAGCATGAAAATTATCCATTTGATTATCATACACTTAAAATGATAAACAAGATGCTTCTTGGAAGCATGTATGTTGATGACTTGTTTAAGCTAGGTTTAAGATTCTTGATGAATTCTATTAGCAACCTATATTTAATGTTTTTCAAGGAGGGAATTTTAAAAATAAGTTTTTGTGAATTACCATCAACACTCAGTAACACTATGTTTTCAACGTACTGATGCTCTCTAGATAGAGTAATAAATAGTACATAAACAAACCCATTGTTTAACACCTTCATAAACATGAAAAAAATTGATTTATCTTACGAAGCAAAAACGATGTGATTTAAAGCCAAATCTTCCAAGCTACGGTCCCTTCCTGCACCACAAGTACCCAAGTTACAGTCTGCAAGCATACAGTATTTTAATAACCCCCTCCCTGGGAAGCCAGATCACTGTCCAATTACCAGGTTCACTGCAGCCATCTACTGGAAATCAACACCACAAGCTCCTGTTTAAGTCCAAAGGGCATTCCAGACACAGCATGCAGCTGCTTTTGGGGAGGTTGTGCTTGCACAACTGTGTGTGTCTTCATTTCCATGTACATCTCATCTTGTGCCACAAGTAACAAGTGTAGAGCCGTCCTGGCATGACTTGCGCTCAGCACTGAACAAATGCATCACACTGACGGATATCGTTTCCAGATTATGTTTCATATAGGATGTTGCCATTATCAGCGCCAGGACACTCTTAAACGTTTTTGCATAGCCACACATATTCTTTTGAAGTCCTGCAAACAGTGCGTAATGAGAGTTAATAAGTGCATGGTTGGTGATCATTACCACTAGTAAAATGTGTAAAGTGTGTGTGTTCCGTGTTAAGTTGATGGTATATATCTACCAAGAAAATTTACATTTAAACCCTTTTTTTTAACATTTCACAACCTTGGATTATCCACTACATTTTTGCCCAACAAAATGTTTATCAATGCTATAATTAGGTCTTATTGGAGCTGAATATTGTTGTGGGAAAACAGACCATGGACAGTAGTGTTGGCTGTGTTTCTGTGTTAAGACCATGGAGGCAGGTCATGGGGAGTTACCAGGGGTTAATTTTACAACGCGTGTGCTATGCTAGAGTATCAGTGGTCATCTCTTGATATATCCGAATGAATGCTGGCAGCTTCTCCTCTGCTCTCTCTCTGTCCTCCACCGGTGTCCTCACCTCTAAAAAGCTGTTGTTCAAACACCAGCTATAACCTTCATTGAAACGGGTCAGCTAAAAGAGGGAGGGAGAGTTTGTGTGTTGGTGGACGGAGGGAGTTGACATGGTAAGAGGAAGAATTGTCACCTCACCTCATTGAAATAGCTTGTCATTTTTATGTTAGTACACAGCAGACACAGAGGGTTATTGTCAGTTTCTGTGCGCACCTCAGCTGAAGTGAAAGGTATCAGTTTGGATCTGGAACTTATCATTTTTTAGCTTTTGATTTGCTGCCTATTGGGATATCGACACGTTCCAGTGACCTGCTTTTTCATATTTTGAAAAGATGAAAAGGGGCATAAAATCATGTACTTAAGGAACCTTCCCGGGAGAATTTCCTGTTTTTGTCCTGGATCAGGTTATGTTAGAAAGGACTCCACTACACTGGAAGTTGCGCTTTGTACTAAATTAATGTAGAGTTTTTTTTTTTTTTTTGGAGAGCTGCCCTTGGCAGTGTGCTACTTGAGAGCTTATCCCTGTGGGACTTGGCGTACTGGACATTTTTTAACAGTGAAAGATGGATTCTTGGGATACAGACTCAGAGGATTCCTGTGACTGGGGCAACTCCTCTGAAGAGGCATCATCAGAGGAGGATGAACTTGATGTCACATATAATAAAAAGTATGTCTGTGCTGCAGTGTATGCTGCCTTTTTAAAATAGTCTTTTTTACTGTGTGCCAATCCTCTCAGAGGCAATGCGGCTGGACAAAAAGATCTACTGTGTTTATCAGCAAACCTCCGATAAAGCATTTAACGTCTATAATAATGCGATTTAGTGATGACATTGCAGAACGTGATAGGTGATAAGACATGTTAACTAATTTTGCCTTTTAATGTTCATTGTCCGCAGGGAGGACATCAGGACAGCCAGCGTCATTGCAGCAGAAGCAGTCACTTGTCTTGTCATTGATCGAGAGTAAGTATCAATAACGCTATATCCGGGAGCCTTATGTCTTTTCCTCACTATTGATTCATAACATTTTAGCCAATTGTACATCTGTGAGCCATGTAAATCCAGCATATCTATAATGCAAGAGTTTATTTATGCAAAAAATGAAAGATTTAGTTGGCCTTGGCATTAAAGGTCTTGAGGAAATCTTTAGTTTGACAAGATTCATCCACTAAATAAAATCCAAACAAACTGGACCTAGTGAGTGCCAGAAATGGATTGTGTATTTGATGCAGCAAGCATCAAGTGAAAGAGAGGTGTACAAGGCGTAGTAGTTATGTCACCAATAAAAATCGGAATTGAAAAAGTTTAAACCACAATTGTGATTTTCAATTAATTCAGTTTTAATTAATATCATCTTGGTGGTCCATTTAATGCATCTGGCACTAAGTGATTTACAGTCCTGTGTATGTTTTTACCTTTAATGAAATGCTTTCATTAAAAATGCACAAAGAAATAATAGAAAAGATCCAAATGCGGCTGCAGATGATTATCTTTTGATGGTTTTATGAAATGTTTGGTTAATTTGAATATTTATAACACTGTTCAGTATAACAGCTAACAAAGTCGGCTTCTTATTACAGCATGAAAATCCCCTTCCTTGTTCGCAACTAATTCAGTTATCATATGGTTTTAAACACGCACACACAAAATAATGATGGTGAAAAAGTGTTTTTGATTTATATGATTAAAACAGGTCAAACAAAATACAGTGCTTTTATGATCCAAGCTGTATTTTGAGCTTGGGGTTGTATCTTACTTTTGGCTTCCTCCTGGGTTCAGGGAATAAGCATATCCTCAGGACTGGTGGGAGGTAGTGAATGAGTCATGTGGCAAAAGTGATTACAGTAGCCAGTCATATTAGAAGCTACTTCTGCCACAAGTTACAAAGACTGTCCAGTTTTGGAGCAGGACATTTATTTCACACTGTTTGTGTTTCTCAAAATGAAAAGTTATAATTTAAATAGCAGAGCAAGGATTCTGGCAAAACTCGTATTAAAGGGAGTTTACCTGATTCAGTATAGCTGGACATATTATGTCTCCTTTCTAAGAGCCATTTCTTTGAAACCTTGATTTAAGAAAAAAAAATGCATATTTGGATTTGGTACTGTTTGAATGAGTTTTTCTTATTAGTCTGGCATTTTTTCAAACGTGTTATGATGCATAACCATGGAAATGGAGTAGTTGTGTGTATGTGGGAGGAGGACATTTTAAGTTTCTTTTTGTTTATCGGCGAGACATAGCCGCAGGAACAACCTCTCTACTCAGCCTTGAGACTCTATGGTCAGACAGAGACCGCAAAGAGGAGGGATTTGTGTTGGTAGCAGCAGATGGTGTATTCCTGGCCATGTCAATGAGAAGGAACATCTCTTGTCCCGAGATGTTAAATTATTGGTTGTGAGTTTCTGAAAATCTTGTTGAGAGAGTTAACTTTCTTTCCTTGTGAGCAAATCAGCCAAGTAGCTTCCATATATGCGTTTCACAAAATGTTTCAGTAAGAACCCCTTTTGTGGAACGTGTTAGACCAAATGTAAAAACTGTCATGTCTTTTACACCAGTGAGGGTTTACTATGATTCTAAATGCATCAGAAGGTTTCCGTGTGTCTTTCATTTAAATAGCTTAAGTGACCTTGTCCTCATGCTTCTAATAATTAACAGAAAATCTATAAAAAATGTTTGATCATTCAGCACATTTATTCTTGTAGAATTATTTCAGTTAAAAATGAAATTGCTTTCTAATTTGAATGAAACTTTCTTCTCACCCAGCATCTGCTGTCACAGCTTTTTACACCTTTTCAGTGTAACACTGTCTTCCCCTCTGTGAATTTAAAAGCCTGTCTCTAAAAGCAAGCTGATGAATATTTAATAGCAACTGATAGTGTTTTTATGGCAGTCTGTACGCAGATCGCCTGTAGTGTTAAAACTACTTTAGATAAAGGAACCATAATCTATTCGTGTTCATTGACTAGAAGTGTGTTTTTGTCTTTAGATTATGGATGGATGAATCATGTGATGTATAAAACGTTCGGCCAAGAGCTGCAGTGACGTTTATTGTCTGTCTTTCAGTTCATTCAAGCACCTGATTGGAGGTTTGGAAGATGTTTCCAGTAAAAGCCACGAAGATGCTGATGCAAAAGCCAAGTAAGTCAAATTTGTTGTTACAAATTAATTAATTGTGTTGAGCAAATTTTTGCACATTTTTGTCTAAATAGACAAATGTTTCTCTTGCCTTGAAAACCTATTCTCAATGCATTCTGATGGTCTTTCAGAGGTTTTCTTTGGATATTTGCATCCTTTTCAGTCGGTTGAAAACATACAAAGAATATAGCAAAGGACCTTTTCGAAGTTATATTTGCAGGAAGTTTGCTCTCTCTTATTTATTAGTTGAAATATATAATGTCAATTTTAATTCTTTTTCTGGTTTATTTTATTGTCTCAATCTTAAAAATCTGCATTAAAACTAAACCTGATGGCCAATCAGCAGATTAAAACAGTAGGTATGACCTCTTCCATTTCTGAAGGTATGAATATGAATAGTACTCATGAATGAGTACTATTCTATAAATAGTATTTATCATCCCTATGGGAACTGAGCTGGGTACCTCCCGGGCCATCAAGCAGCATAATCTGATACCCTGCTCATTATGCATTTAGCTATAAAGCTGAGGAAAAACAAAAAGTCAACACTGGCAGTGCCATTGCCAAAGAATAAGACTGGTGACAAGAAGAGTAGACTTCTGTTTGATACTTTCGATTTCAAGCTGACTGCTGAAAGTGCCAGTCAGTGGAATTTAGTCAGCAATGAGTAGAACATGGCCCCAGTTGCCAAGTTTGAAAGAAGCCATGTTGAAAGATGGGTACAATGAGAGGAATGGCATTCATCTGTGTCTGGGTATCCATTATGGCTTAATACAGCTGATGATTCCTCTGCCAAACTATTTAGATAAACAAAAGCACATAGTACACATGGCTAAGCGCACTCTTTGTGTCCTTTTGTGTTAAGTAAAGCAAAATTTAATCGATGCAAATCAGTGCAAGTCTTCAAATGCACTTTATCATTAACCTTGTTTTCTCACCGAACTTAGATTTGAAAAATAACCACTCAATTCCCACAAGTCTGTCTAATCAGACCTATTTTCACCCAGATTAAGGTAGCTGTCTCTGCCACATGCTGCCTCATGTCTTGCTCCCTCCCCACTATAGCTTAATTTGTCTCATGGTGAGGAAAGCTTAAATCAAGGTCCCACTGTGATGGAAACTGTCTCTAATTGGTTACAGTGGGTAAGCACATTTCAACAGTACTGTATCTCTAACAGGTTTTATTCTTCAGAGACGAGGTCCCTGTTGTGCTTCACATGCACATATTTTGATTGAAATAATCCTTTTCTTGGCAGGAAAAGCTCCATGTTACATTAGGAATAAGTCCTTCACTTCTCTATTTCTATATGGGTTAATTCCCCCCCCCGTCTTTTATCGGGCAAAGCAAGGTGAAAATCTAAACATTTTTATACCTCATTGAGTCTTAAAAATATATTTTTTCCCTCCTCGGCCTGAAATCAAATCCCTAATAGGCTGGCAAAGGCTTTTAGAAAAAAAAAGGAAAATGACTATTTCCACTAGTTCAAACCGACAAAAAAGTGAGGACTGATTAGAAAAGGCCATGTATGACTTTGGGGAATGTACGTCATTTGTGCTAGTGTAGAAGTAGAGTAAGCATGAAATTTTCATTAATAATGTGGTATTTAAGTAGAGCCCTCTTTAAGGTCACAAGTGCTTTCTTCCCCTGACTTTTGTCCTCAGAGTAAGGCTAGACCAAGAAGAATGGGAGCTAAATTAAATAAGAGGATAAAACACACACTCACCCACACAATGTAGTCACACACATACGCATCCTCATGGGGATTGCATCATTTTTATGACTTCATCTGCTCTGATATCACCCACTGGGGTGCTACTTGACCTGCATAGATACACCGTATTGCTGTGCTTCAAATGGATTTTCCAGACAACATTATTAAGTCACATGTTATTTCAGTGTACCGAGATCTACTTTACAGTGTTGGATCCAGTTAAGTTCTTTGTGTGATTAAAGGTAATTGTTAAGAGGATGGTTGCATGGTTTCAGCCTCAATGTACCGGCTTGACAGCATCATATTCAAGATTCTGAACTCATGGCTCAGTCGTAAGGATTGGCAACCAATGTTTTCGAAATCTGTATATGTTTTTGGATTTGTGTTTATGAATATCTCAATTATTTTTCCATGGATTTCCTCAAGTACTGTGTGCATTTAGGATATGCATTAAGATATGAAATATAAAATATTTCCTGTTTTGCTGTCTCATAATTTTAGTCAGTCTTTCTGCCGAATTTGATAGAAGTGGTGATAATTTAATTAGAAACATGAATATTTAGTTATTTGCTTTAATATGCCGCTACGCTGCCATCTGCTGGCCAAAATATGCCATTGCTCCATTGACTGATCTATTTTTATCCTTAGTAAAAATGTTACAACTTTAATATTTGACGTCATAAACTTTAAGTCATCCTGTGCAAATCTCACGTTGTAGATCTAAAGCCCCTCTTGTTAGTGTGTGAACCTCGTGTCTTGCCAATGCTGGTAATCACCCCAGCCCCCAATACATTTCTTTGGCTCCTGCTTTGCTTCCCCCTGTCTGTCTTAAGGGATTATTATTTGGATTTACAGTCTTCTCCATGCTAGCTCAGATGAAACGAGAGGAGAAGAAGATGAAAGGATCATCAGTAAATGTCACACGATAGTGGCAGTGCCCAAACAAACACAAATAAACAGTGGGTGTCCAGGTAACGTGATGTATTTCTAAGAAACACCATGCTCAGTAACCTACCAACACATGCCACCGCAAGGCCCAGTGGCGTGTGGCTGGGGGAAAGGTTTTAATTGTCCTGGCATGCAGGGTAACTGATGTGTAGACTGAATATGAAACAATTCAGATTCCCCATCACATCTGAAGTAGCCACGTAACACTGGAAGACACCTAATGGGACATTTAATTGATTGAATTCAATGCCGGAACAGTGCTGTTATTTTTGAAAAAAGAAAATGAACTCCTGATGTTTCATTAAGAAGTCAACTGACATATGTGAGCACATCTTTGTTGGTGTTTTCTTAAAGCTTTTTTCTTCCCTATGGACATCATACCTTAAACTAGTTTTGTCTGTGAAGAGGTCTGACATTTAGGGGATGCTCAGATCCAAGTGACCCAGAATGGTCTGTCCAGACTCCGATCTGTCCTAAGCCCACTGATCCAGAGACTGAGCTGATGAAACTCTGTCTGGATCAAACAATAAGCAGAGAAGACAGAGGGTATCTGGGGAGAAGGGATAAACACTTGGAAACACTTGCCACTGCCAGCATGTGCAGGTCAGAAATGGCATATTGTAGTGTTCAGTGGGGGAGCCAACGCATAGTTTCACAGCCCACTGAGACGTGAGCAGCCTGTGTGACTGATATACTGTTTTGTTCCTTCCTATCGAGAATAATGACTGTCATCTGTGTTCAAAGGGGTCACAACAATTTGCCAGAGGACTAAACAAACATACATCCTGTTCATGTGTTAGTTTTTATGCACTTCACATCCTCAAAAACATCCTTGATAGATTATGAGGGGTTAAATCCTCTAAGATTCTCAAACAAATGAGCTCAGGGAGAAACGGATATTTTGTCTCAGATTGTTGAAAGTGGATTATGTGTTCTTTCATCCTTCATCTCATCCCTAATCCTGTTCCCATGTTTTCTTTTTTCTCATTTCCCTGGCACTAAAGGTATGAGGCAGAGAATGCGTTTTTCTTCAATCTCAGCCTGGTTGACTTCAACATCATTGACACTCTTGGAGTTGGTGGCTTCGGCAGAGTTGAGCTGGTAGGGAACACTGCACTGCAACATTAACACAAGTGATTATATCCGGATTAATACTTGATGAAGATATTCAACCCATACTCCGCACTTGCTTTCTTCCCTGTCGCTACAGGTTCAACTGAAGAGCGATGAGAGTAAAACATTTGCCATGAAGATTCTGAAAAAGCGGCATATTGTTGACACAAGGCAGCAGGAGCACATTCGTTCAGAGAAGCTCATCATGCAAGAGGCCCACTCTGACTTTATTGTTAGGTACACACCCAGGACAGCTATATCAAAAGGCTTTGTGGATAATAAATAGTGGAAACAGCTGACATGTCATGAAGATCAGGTCTTTATTACTTTAAAGCCGGGCAGACCGAGGCTTAATTATCAGTATTCTTTGTGGAGCTTGTATAGCTTATTATTACTATTACAGGTTTCCATGAATTATTTAAAATTACTTTTAACATCTAACAAGCAGAAAATTAGTTATAGAATTTCCAAATAGATCAACTCATTGAACATAACGAATAAAGAAAAAAAACCCAGAAACGTTCATTCTCTTCAACAACAATACATCTGTTTACATGGTCATGCATTATTTTGCCATTTATGCTGTGTTATTCCTGTCCTTTTTTGTGTACTGGGACTGTAACAACTAATGATATACTGTAGCATTTCAATCTATATCTTCATTTACGAAAAAAATGAAAAAGGATTTGGGATAAAATGCTTGGGAGCAATCTAAACACTAAATATTTGAAATGGCTATATCTGATATAAAAGTCCTTCATATTACCACTGTGTATAAAACACTGAAAATTATTAGTACTCAAGCCAAGAGAACCCATACTTGAAAGCTCTGTTTGTGGTTAATTATTATGGGTTAATTATGGCATTATCTCAGGATAAGGAGGCTTGTTTCCTGTTTATCTCAGTATAATTCGTTAATAATATTTTGTCAACTCGGTTCGTTTTCCTGTCTCCACAAACACTCGGATTCCCTGTGGAGCGGCAACTGACCCAAATGTAACAGAGTTGGTGAAACAGAGGCCCATATTCTCACCAACATGCATTTGCTAAACTCAGTACAACAAATAGGCAGATATGTGCATACCTTATAAAGCAAAATCACATATGTTTGTTAACCCTAAAGCTCAGAGCATATTGACTTTTGATATACATAAACATTGATCTTGAACTGACTACAGCATCCTGGGGCAGAGATGTGAAACTTCAGAATTTTGCTCTCCAACTCTATACCATTCTGTTTTGATTCCTGGTTTCTTGAAATTTTCATAGGTGTTGCTTTTTCAACATGACAAAAAATGCCCATGTATAACTTTGGACACATTATCATCCCACAACAGGAGGAGAGCAGAAAAATCAGTTGGATTTTTAGTGTCATTTTAATGTCATAGATCCTCTCAAGCTTTCCTGAAAACAATGATTAACAATCACAATAGATGTTAACACAGGAGCCAATCAGTTCAAATTAGCAATTGAAATAGGTATGTTGTCCTCTATAAATTCCTTCCACTGGTTTAATTTCTGATAAATTTACAGCATAATTTGTTCACAGGTCTTGAGAAGTGGAATTTGGTGTTAGTGGTCATCTTAGTAAAAGAAGTTGTTCTTTGAATATGTAATGAATATTACATAAACCACTCAGAGTAACTGTTTCTTTTTGTCCTGTCCAACACTACCTATGAAATTATGATTCTAGACTTTATAGCTGTTTGAGCTCAAATAAATGTTGTATGTTATCTCAGACTCTATAGAACCTTCAAAGACAGCAAGTACCTCTACATGTTGATGGAGGCCTGTTTGGGAGGAGAATTATGGACCATTCTTCGAGATAGGTAAGTTTGATTTTACCAGATGAGATGTGCATCTCATGCAAATTAGTTTATGGTTATCTTTATTTTAATGGCCTACTTTGAAATCCACCGGAAACCTGTTAATATAATTCTATTGGTTGGTTGAAAATAAAACATAACTGTTGGTGTCTGTATCAATGAACTTTTTATTTTGCCATTCATCTTAGCTTTCTGGTTGTTTTTCCAGAGGGTCTTTTGAAGACTCGACCACCAGGTTCTACACAGCTTGTGTTGTGGAAGCTTTTGCTTACCTGCATTCCAAAGGCATCATCTACAGAGACCTGAAACCAGAGAACCTTATACTTGATCACAGGGGTTATGCCAAACTGGTAAGAGCTCAACATGTAATTACCATCCATCATAAAAAAGTTATGGCAAAAATTAAATGACAGAAGATTATCCCTTCCCTTCAGGTGGACTTTGGCTTTGCCAAAAAGATTGGGTTTGGTAAGAAAACCTGGACCTTCTGTGGGACACCAGAGTACGTAGCACCAGAGATCATTCTGAACAAGGGCCATGACATCTCAGCTGACTACTGGTCTCTGGGAATCCTCATGTTTGAGCTCTTAACTGGCAGGTACACACAAGCCTGGGCATGTTTTTACAAAAATTGGTTTTCAGCGAACTCCCTGTGGTGGCATACTCTCCATGCTTATTTAAAAAAAATTAAAATGCAGTAATTTAGCACACATTGTGCATAACATGCTATTTTAAAGTAATAACAAATATTTTGTCCTTTGTTATGTAGTCCTCCATTCTCTGGTCCTGACCCGATGAAAACCTACAATATCATCCTGAGAGGAATCGACATGATTGAATTTCCAAAGAAAATCACCAAAAACGCAGCCAACCTAATCAAAAAGCTATGCAGGTAAGCCCTGGTTCTTCCACCAGTCTGACTGCAATAACCGATTTACATTGTCTGTGTACTGAATCATCCAAACTTCTTTCTTTTTTCTTCTTAAATCTAGGGATAATCCATCTGAAAGACTGGGAAACTTGAAAAATGGTGTCAAAGACATTCAGAAGCACAAGTAAGCCAAATGATTGTTTTAAGACTTTGAATCATTTCATAGTCTTTGTTTTGTCCGAGGAACTAATGATGTTTATCCAATAGATGGTTTGAGGGCTTTAATTGGGAGGGTTTGAAGAAGGGAACATTAACACCTCCAATTGTTCCAAATGTAAGTCCTGATATTCTTGCATTACAGATTTTTGTAGTACAGTTTGTTTTCAGTCTTACATTGTTTTTATTCTATATGTAAACGACTGTCTTCTTGCCAGGTTACATCAGCAGTTGACACAAGTAACTTTGATAGCTTCCCAGAGGACAATGAGGACCCACCTCCAGACGACAACTCCGGCTGGGACGTAGACTTTTGAAGTCCTCTTAAAACCAAAAGAAACACTTCTTTTGTCAGTTTTTGATCTTTGATCCATCTTGGACCTTTTTTGCCGTTGAAAAATGAGGAAAATAAAAGCAGTGAAAATGAAATAGAATAGAACATAAACTGATGGCAAACCCTCTGGGTCACCAATATGCCTTTATTTCACTGTGGCTCTGGATACAGCATTTATCATGTGACTTTGCTGTCGCACTCATTTGGTGTTGTATTACACATGAGTTTAAAGGCATAGAAAGTACAGAGAAATACAAAACAGGTGGAGAATGAATGGAAGATGTTATTGGAGGTATGAACATTGGAGATTTTTTGGGAATTTTTGGTTAAAGGATAAATGAAGAATGTGGAAAAGTGTTCAAATGGAGAGGAGACTAATACTAGATTCCATTTCTTGGGTTTTCTCAGCAGTACTTGATCAAATATTTGGTGGACTTTGGGTGGGTACCTGATGTTACTGCAGTTGTTGCTTGCTTTTTTTTAACAAGCAACTGCTTACTGCAACCTATGATAATTTCCACAGATCTTAACTCGATAGTTTCCAAGTATCAAGTGCTCAAGACTAATCTGAATGTCAGATTTTCTTCTTGTTTAACACACCTATATGGCATACAGTATGTACTGGACACAATATGTGACTTTGCAGGTTACTTTGTCATACACAATCCCGACTGGGATAAAATCAGATACTTAGTACATTTTATGTGAGATTAATCTACCTTAAAAAGCACAAACACTGTGCAATCGGTGGAAAAAGTTGTGACTCTTAAAGTGCCCTGCATAAAGTTTATTGAATCACAACCTGGCACATGACATGCTAGTATTTCCATGAGGCAATGTGTTATTATGCATTTAAGACCATAAACTGAGAAAATTAGCAGTTATAGTTCATTTTAAGCTTCAGTATGAGTCATAGTTTCTCGTTTTTTTTCTTTTTAATGTGCTTTTAATCGCACATATGGATCGTTCTCTGCCTACACTTTCTTTGGTTTGTTTTAAAATCACTTAAACGCCTCCTCCCATTCACTCAAACCAGGCATCTTTTGCCTGCTCCTGTACAGCTCTGACATAACTGTGAACATGGTTTCATTGTCTTTGGTGCTGTTGACTAATTATATTACCGTAAGCAATGTTGAGATGAGTACTGGTTATTGGTTTTGTATTGTGATTTCCTTTCACTTGTATGTTCTTTTAGAACTTGGTTACTTGCTTACTAAAATACTTGACATCATCAATTAGAAAATTGGAGACTCATATTAGTTTGCAGACTTGATTGATGGGATTTTTCACGTTCTATCACCATGTTGAGTTGTGAAAAGTGATATTCATAAGGGGTCCAGTCATCTGTGTGGGGTTATTAATTTTAAATTCACCAATTTCTCACTTTTTTGGCAAAATTGATGAGTCACATAATTTTAAAGCAAACTTTACATTTCATCATGTTATTGGAATTCAAAATGCCTCCTGGAGACGGAAAGTGACAGTAGGAAACATAGTTTATGAAAATTCAACTTTGCACCATGATCCTGACACCCAGCTTGGCATCTGCTACATAAAGAAAAATTTAATTATTAAATTAAAAAAGATTCCAAGTGCCTTAGGACTATGGCATATAAAACTAAAATCACAACCTTTTCAATGCTGTATGAACACATATACACCTCAAAAACGTGTCCTTTCAAATGGCTGCTTTCCTCATCTTTTGTTATGTCTAATAAATACATTAATCACCATGTAAAGGAAATCTTTAGTAATTTGATTAACGACAAAAGTGTGTACGAAAAGAAAATCCTGCTTACGCCTTTTTAATCCCATGAGACCATTTATCTACAGTAAGCTGATACACTGTCCTAGCTGATATGACTGCAATGACATCCTTCTCTCTTCTTAACCATATTTGATCTTATAAAGTCAACCTGTAATGGCCTGATATGAAACACCAGTGAGCATTGATCATTTCTCAGACAGACCATCCATCACCTATTTTAGCCATGAAATGTGAACATGTAGAGAAGGCAGGCATGATTTGCAGTTTTTATCAGAAAATTCATTTTGTAAGGTGTAAGACAGCATCAACAAGAATACACCATGATTCAAAATTCCATCTAGTTTATTAGTTAGAATTAAACAGATTTGACATTAGGTTGACAATTACCTTCATATTATATATATATTTTGATGGAGAGCTCAAACAAATTGTAGGAACCTTAATGCTGTAAATATGTTGAAAGTATTTTCCTGTGTTTGATGAGGGTTATGTTTGTCACAAAGCCTTATGTTTGTCATCACTCTCCAAACCTCTGGTATTGACTGCCTTCTGCAAAGTTACCTGATATATGCCTTGTGTTATGTTGTTTTCTGCTGTACATTTATTTTGCAGAGTGCCACGTGTAAGATTTTTTAAAATTATAGAGTAAAAACAATACTTTTGAGTCCTGTTTGTCTCTTGATTCGTTTGGACCACCAGCAGTGGTGGATGGAGAGCTTTTGCTGTGGACAGTTTGCAGTTTGCTGCAGTTGCCACAGCAGGGAGCTGTTGGCAAGACATTTTTCCTCCAACCCGGTGCGCCTCATCTTGGTGTGAGCTCTTTAAAGACCCCTGAAATCTAATAATCAGCCCTAGAGTTAATGTCATCCACTTAGAGGTAAGTGGAGATGATTCAGCTTCTCATGGTCGACGTGTTGTTCGTACAACAGTTCTGTTTTGGGGCGACAGGGAAATGGCTTCAGCCGTAACAACAGGGTGACACTTTTGGGAGATCAAAGGGGATCAAAGTGCATCAAAGGAGTTCACCTTACTGGCAGTGACATTTAGTAAAGTGGGGATAAAAGCTCGACTTCAAAAGATATGCAGCAATTCTAACTTGCAAAGTGCCAGCGCGTTGGGGAAGTGTCCGCGGAGCATGTTGGATGTCCGCGCACAGGCGCGCACAGACGGCTTCACACCCGAACGCGGCCTGTCTACGACCAGCAGATGACGTCCAAGTGCCAAGATGCTCAGTCGTGCTGAAGAAGTCACCCTGCACCTCAGCACCCGTGAGCCCTAAAGGGTTTTCCTCCAGAACATGATTTTAAAAGTTTCCCAGACATCCAACTTTTGCGCATGCAGGACGCTAATTAGAAAAGGTGACTGCGCATGGTTGAAGGAATGGTTCATTTCACGATTTTAAAATCCAGTCAATATTCCTAAGTATATTCCCACAGCAGACATGTCTTTCTTTGCTAGGATCCACAGGGTCATAGAAGGGCAGATCAGTGTCTCCTTTAATCTCAAAGTGCTAGTCAGCCCTGGAGGGCCTCCCCGCGGAAGTCCATTAATTCAGCAAACTTTTCACACCCCTTAATGGTCCGCATATTCTACACATTGATGTCCGCCGCTGGTGTAATCAAGCACACTTTGGGGGATAATTGCTACCTTTGCAATCAGGAAGATCAAATGAAGTAGTTAATCGACTCAAGTAACTTCAATCACCAGTCCTCACTCAGCCAAAGGGAAGTTAGTCTTTGGGTGTGAAAGACTCTGGAATAACCCAGTGGAACCTACAAAGATGGACCATCATGATAACATCATAAGACCATATGCTGACAAATCTTGTCTACATTCTGATTTAAAATAATTTGGGGGGAAATGCTGTCATGGTATGCAAAATAGTGATTTGAAATTCACCTAATAACATATTTTCAAATGTTGGATAAACAATTCTGGGAAATAAGGAAAGGAAGGTGTAACCGCAGTAAGATTAGATAACAGTGTTACGTTTTTGGATTATCCATAAAGAATATATTGGAAAATCAACCTAAGTATAAATATGAGACTGAACGAATTTGATATGAAGGACGTTAGTTTTCCATTAAAATGACCAATTTATAAAAGAATATGCGCAGTGCGTCAAAGGAGAGGTTGAATAAAATGCAAGAAGATCAAATACCAATTTGGGCTGTTGAAATAGTTTTTATTATTTCTGTTTTGATTCATCTTGTTTGTGTTGGTATACTGCTTGCGTCTTTTGCGTCAGTGATGGGTATTCAGACAGACTTTGCAGGTCATTATCATTCCACAAACACTGTGAAATGTAGTTCTGTGTAGTTTCCGTACAGTGGGGCTCTGTTTGAAATTCCACCCCTCCGCCTTTGTTGTGCACAGCGAGGGGCGGGAAGACAAACAGGTCCACATGTATAAAGGGATCATCCTGGGACTGTGAGTCAGGAGATCTCCAAGCATCGTTCCGAAACTCTCTGGAAACTTTGGGATTCAGGAGTCGAAGCTGTTTGGACTTTGTCACTCAGATTTTCAACAGAGACGGGTGTTTTTTTTCTTCTTCTTTTCTGCTTGTTTGAAACAGAACTGAAGAGGAGAATCATGAAAATGCCTTTGGCACATCGCTTCTTGGCTGCGTATCTCACACTGTTTGGATACTTTGGAGACGTTTGCGCGGGCGCAGTTCTGATGAACTCCAACGCGATCAAAAACCTACCCGGTGATTCGACTGGCAAGGCCGCCGACTCTGTCAGTCCAAGTCCGCGCACCTCGCCCTCAGGCAGTGTGGGGCATAAATTACACGTGGACACCGTGCAGGTAAGGATTTCTTTTTATTTTTCTGGTGCGTAAAGGTCAACTCTGAGGCGCGATGACAACCGCGCTCATGTAACTTTTATGACAGCAACATCTCTTATGACGGGGTGCTTTTGTTGTTTTTCTTACTGTCACAGTCAGGTGTTTGCTCGGAGGATGAAGACTGCGGTGCTGATGAATTCTGCAACGACGCCCGAAGTGTCTGTCTGCCCTGCCGTAAAAACCGAAAGCGCTGCGTAAAGGACTCCATGTGTTGCGCAGGAAGCCGCTGCAGCAACGGTGAGTGGTCTCAGCCTTTACTGCTGCCTATTACCAGTTTTTTTATTTTTTTTTATCTGCGTTCTAAAGCTGATTACATGCATTTCTGTCCTCCCCAGGTGTTTGCCAAACGAACGACATGTATGCCACAGATGCATCAACCATCTCTGGCTGGCATAAGCACAACAACACCATGGAGCATCAAGCCAAGAGGCCTCACACTGTCCAAGACTATCAGCCCACTGCAGTCAAAGGTGAGTCTACGGTCAAGAGCCATCAGTCTCATTGTAAAGACTCAAAAAGGTGTTCAGCCAGAACTGTTTCAAATAACATATATGTGACCTCGTGCCGTCACCAGGTCAGGAGGGCGACACGTGCCTGAGATCGTCGGACTGCTCCGAGGGTCTGTGCTGTGCCAGGCACTTCTGGTCCCGCATCTGTAAGCCGGTGCTGACGGAGGGCCAGGTGTGCACGCGCCACCGCAGGAAAGGCACCCACGGCTTGGAGCTGTTCCAGCGCTGCGACTGCGGCGAGGGTCTCGCCTGCCGCCCAGAGAAAGGGGAGCGCGAGCACGGGGTCAGCAGGACTGCAGCCCGGAACCTACACACCTGTCAGAGACGCTGATACGGCCGCACGGATACACTACCAGAGATCCACATCAATAACCCCCCCCCGAAAGACACTGACAAACACCCAGCAGTCTTGCTCACACCAAAGATGCTGACACACATGCACGCACACACACACACACACACATGCTCAGAGACACCCAACACCTAGGACATTCTTTCCTGCCGAAGTTGCTGACATGAATGCACCACCCTGAAGGATAGACAAGAATCCTGGAAAATGATACACCCAGAGGGATGAGACGGTGTGAAATGAGCTGATCCACTTCTCCATCAACTGATGAAGAGTCTGCAGCCACTGAGGGACATCTCTGAAGGGTTTGATTAATGTCAGTAGTGGCAGAGCTGTTTTGTTTCTCTTTTTATGGAACTTGGAGCCACTGGTATTGCAGTAAATTACTGTCGTGTAAATAATGTCCTGCAAGTGGCACTTATTTGTCCTATTGAATTATGTCAACACTAGTATTATTAAAACATGATGCTGCATGTTTTGTAAATATGTTATATATACATATATATACTTATGTGTGTATATATATATGTATATATATATGTGTGTATATATATATATTGTTTTATAAGAAAATATATAGATAAAATGTGAATATTTGGTTTTATTAAATGTCTCCTTATAACCATACTCCTTTTTGTCTATCACATTTGTTAGCATCAAACCAATTTGTCTCCATATTATACAGAAATCGTCTCAGAACACTTGAGAATTCACTTTGTTTCTAACTCAGCTCCGGGGTAAATGGTCACCGCTCCATTAATTCTCTTCTGATGCTGAAAATATCCTGAAAAAGATAAAGATGCTATGAATGGAGCATCAGCGGCCCTCATTTTGCAATAGAAACAAAAGGTGGTCAGCCAGGGTTCACCTGAAGATGAACTGAGAAGAGGATGTTGCAGTGTATCAAATGCTATGTGCTAAGAGGCAATGACATAGTCTGTATGCCTTGAGTGTTTGCCACCTAGACCTTTGGAGTTGGATAGTTTCTAATTAGACCTTCTCTTTCTTTATGTGCAGTGTAGCAGAGAGCAAGCTACCCAAGCTTAAGCCTCTAATTACTTCATCTTACTCAATCTGCACAAGGACTCATGAAATAAGGTGCACAGCAACACTTCAGTGACGCAACTTGGGAAGAAAAAAAAAAAAGATCTTGCTCGGTACAATTGCACAGCACACCCCATTTCCTGACATCTTGTGCAATGGATGTGCTCTAATATGTAGGCGATGAATCCAGTCAAATACACCTTGTTGCCTGTAATTAGACCTGTTTAGATGAGAAGATGGCAAGGAAATTACTGCACTTCTTTCTTGATTCTGTCGTCACATCAAAAGGAGTGCACAAAGCTCGAGATATCTGACTGAGCTAGACAACCGCCTCTGTTGACTCACACCGAGTCAAACACAGATTCCTATATTCATTACTGCAAATGTAAATGAACAAAATATTTACAAAACTCTAGTTCACAAAACTACATGAGGCTACTAACAGGCTACATTTTGCCAGCATAATTGCTATTTGAAATGCTTTAAGCTCTTAACAGAAGTTGTCTTTTATTTTTAGGGTATTGCTGCATTGTTGAATAGCTGGTGTCATTAAAGTAGAGAATTTGACCAAAAGAAACCTCCATCACTTTAGAGAACAGACATGTCCATTTAAGCAATTAAAACGGCCATTCTTTACGACCATTAAGAGGAATGGGGACATTGTCAGAAACACAATATACCACACAGGCCCAGCCAAGTCATGTATGTGGGGGTCCAGGAATCTGTGTGTTTGCGAGCCTGTCATCATTACACCGACCACAGACTAACACAGGCCACAGGCATGTGCACCAACTCAAGGACTTCAGTTTCTGTGTTTGTGCTTGTCTATGCTTTACACACATTTGTTGAGCTCCAGAGGAACAACAGTGACGACAACTGCACCACAACGCCACAGCACACACAATCATGTCCCCACACGCCGCTTAATGGCTTTTTGCGAACGCAGCTACACGTGTACGCACACATTCACACATCCTTATAAGGGAGTATTGAAGTGTAAAATGTTTGGAAGAGCAGCGCACTTGCCCACATCTAAACCATCAGCATTTGGTGTCGTCATACCTTGAGGATGAATCAGCAAATCCGCAGTTAAATGTTTTCATGCATTTGAGAAGAAATTTCTACATGTAGCTATGATAAAAACTGATTAAAACAGCCATCATACAAGTCCACAAAACAGCAGTTGTTCTGAGGTGTGCATCATATTGGTATTTAGAGCAATAAAAAAACAACGATTTTGAACTTAATATAAAGCATTCATGTGCACCATTGAAATGTGCTATCTCGCTTCACTATCGAAGTTTAAATCAAAGTTTTTTACTCTCCTGGTGTACATAGTCTATCTGCTATTGTTATTGTAGCGCTGCTGCTAAACACCCTTGACTGACATCACGGAAATTCATGAGTAAACTGTGAGAGATCAAAAGAGAAGAAAGTACACAGGCACCGTGCATGTTTTTTTTGTCAGATGAAAGACGTTGCATACTTTTGGTATGAGCATTTGGATCCGAACCATGCTCTTATAGAAACAACGTTTCACATGAACGTGTCAAACTTCTGGTTCCTGGCACTGATGATGACCCCATACAAAAGAACACACAAAGCTTCCTATTCATCTTTGTGAGATGACAATCTGCCTGATTGAGCAATATGGTTAAATCTCCATGTCCTTGGGAAATAATAATTAAACAAAGGGCAACTCATTCAGCACAATGTGTTGAGTGTGTGAATGCAGGTGGAGAACAGGTTTGCTCCTCTTATTTTACTCCTGGGTGATGTCAACACAACAGAGAAAACAAGGCTTTCACAGAGTGAGGTGATGACGAGTTGGACTTTGATTGGGTTTCATGTTACGTGCCAGATATTTTACCGGTGACAATTATTCTCACTTGCTTCCTGTGTCTTTGTTGCTGGTTGTTGCACCTCACTCCTGTTGACCTCTTTGTCTCTGAGCACATTTAAACCCCATATTCCACATTACACAATAGGTACTTATAATGATACATGAAAACTGATATGAAGACAACAGATTTTGTAGGGGTTGCACACTGGCAGAAGTTCTACAATATTCAATTAACTGGTCAACTTGTAATTGTGGCTGGAGTGAGGCTTTTCCCAGAAGTGTTTGGTAAGCACAGCTTTTTGTTATGGTCTTTAAAAGCTCAACAAGGAATAATCTGGCAGGCTGAATGCTATAATAAAAGTTATGGATACCCCTCACTGTGTTTGTGGCTGTTTTTATGCTAAAAAAGGATAGATAGATAGATAGATAGATAGATAGATAGATAGATAGATAGAT